GACCATATTATCAAAAGCTATTAAATTAATTAATTATTTGCTATTTTTCCAAGTTTTTTAAAAAATGGTTTGTATTATTTTAGTTGGGATCTCTTGGATGCAGTTTATGTCAGTAATAGGCGTCTTCCTGGTAAATGTTGGATAATATCGTTCAAGACTTTTCAACACAAATAGACAAATTGGGTCTAAGGATGTCTGATTATATAATAGCATCGTAGAATTGGAACACCTCAGTCTGAGTTGTTATTTAAGCCGGATTTATTGATTCATAGACCAATGAGGCGAGGTTGGGGAAAAAAAATTGGGCCTCGTTGAAAAGACTTTCACTAATTCTTGGATGTTCTAAGACGAGGCAGGGACTTTCTTATTCATTTTACGCAATGTGTGTTATGAAAAGCCGGATATTCCGGCAATGTCGATGGGTTAATTTACAAAGCACCGGAATTTAGTACGGGCAAAGAATAAAAATGTAATTTGTGCAGTTTAGTTGCCCCCCCTCCATTTCAAAGAAAATCCCTTTTCCTACACATTATATACTTGGACAAATTACAAAGATTTTTTAAACATAAACTCTTTTCTTATTTCAAGAGAAAAATTGTCAAATATTTACCTAAATTCCCCATTAATACATTTTCTTGACATAGAAATTAATGATGTCCGGGTAAAGCTGAATATATAATTATTATCCCAAGTTGGTTGTAGTGTGCTCATTTTTCATTGCAAATACTATAAACCTATGGCAAAATTACGAAAAACTGTATTGTCCTATTCACTATATTAAAAAAATGAAAATTTAGTGATTCCCATCAAGTTATGCCTGATTGACGTCATTATTAAATTAAAAATTAATTGGCCTTGGAATTTTGCTTATTTTCAAGTTGTTTTTAGTGTGCACATTTTTCATTTGCAAATGCTATAAAGCAATGACAAAATTACGACAAAAATGTATTGTCTTATTTAAAATATTTAAAAAAATGGAAATTTCGTGATTCTCATCAAGTTACGACTGATTGACGTCATTATTAGGGATGCATGCTTTTAGGTTATCAATTATCATAAATCAAAATTGTATTAAATAGAAATAGAACTTTGTACATAGCAAATGGTGTTTTTATGTTTTATTATTGTATCAAAATTAAAGATTAATTGGCATTGGAATTTTGCTTATTTTCAAGCGTTTTGTAGTGTGCTCATTTTTCATTATAAATGCTATAAAACCGTGACAAAATTACCACAAAATTGTATAGTACTGTTCAAAATATTTTAAAAAATGAACATTTCGTGGTTCCCATTAAGTTACGACTGATTGACGTCATTATTGGGGATGCATGCGTTTAGGATCATGACGTCATTGTTGGAGTTGGTTTTTCGATATGCTAAGCTCGTAATCGCATTTTGATAATTATTTTGCTTAAAGCATAGAGCAAATATTATATTTCTTATATTTTATAAGTAATCAGAGTAAATAAAAATAATCTTTTGAAAAATAACTATTGTTAATTACAAAAATTTGTTGTTTTACCACAATAAACAATTATTTTGAAAGATTTTAAATACATTAAAATTTACGGAAACGTTTTAAGAACGAATTTCATGTTTCCAAAATATTTGGTACAATAGGGAATTATAATAATGTGATACTTTCTCGATATTTTTTACTTTCAATCATAATTTAATTTATATTAAATGTGTTCTTAATTCATAACGTAAATTGAATTAAGTAAAGTTTTTTTAATTCTAAAAACGTCTTAAAATTATGCTACTGATGTTTTGTTAAACATATTCCAACTCACATAGAATTTTGATCATATGTTCTAGCTAATAATTTACAAATTTTAATTAAAGGATATATTTTATGTATTAATTGTTTTAGTTCTGATGCTGGTGATTTAGTCATGAAAAGATTCGAAATTAATATTATTTGTTTTCAATCTGATTCATTGTCTTTTTTTTACTTACCGTTTTTATTATTTTTTCTCGAAAATATTATTGGGACCTTTATGGTTTGTAAGGTTTAAAATTATTGAAAATTATTGACCATTTTAGGTTTTCATAAATGACATAATAATTTATTAAAGAAGAAGTCAGCAGTCGTTAATCGTCGTGGGCGTGAATTTTACGGATCGTCGGACGTGAAATCCCAGAGGTCCGGCAGACCGTTGTAAGATACCATTAATTTAACAGGTCTAATAACATTTGTCGTGCACGGCTTCAGGAAGTTGTCACGCAGGGGATACGAACTCATTTTATAGAAAATACCGCTGGAATTAATCTAACAGTTCGGGGATGGGCCATTTCCCAATTTCTCTTTTTCACTTGCAAGATTCAAAAACAAAAAAAATGCCATACACATTCTTTGGCTGACTAATTTCTCCTGTTCTGCCCAATTGAAGATTGACAGGTGTATTTAGAAAATATCACAAATTATGTCATTCCTGTTGGTCAACAAACTATTTTTCTATTATTCAAAAGTTTAACAGAATTACATCCTATTTAACCTAATGAAATTGCAACCTTAAACGTTCCTCATCCAGTTTTTGCAATTAAATTTCATGATAAATTTATATAATTTAACTCCAAAAACTCTACTGTTACTATAAAAAACGTAACAACCATTCCATTTATTTAAAATACATTTGTCATACTAACAAGTACAACAAACGATATAGAAAAATGAGTCCTTTGTACAATTAAATTCACTATTTTTCGTGGTCCGCTTGACCAATTAATAAAATTCAATTAAGTAAGGTTTTTAAGTTGAGACAAAAAAGTCCACTGACTTTTCACGGGCGGGATTCGAACCCACGACCTTCGGCTTGATACGCCGCTACTCTACCACTTGAGGCTTGAGCTATCGTGACTTCGATTCCCTCGGGCACTAACTTCCCATCTCAACCCCCACCTTTTGAATTTTCCCTCCTGTTTTGCCATTTTTCATTTGAACGACATTTGATTAAAATTAAACGAAACGCATGAGAACGCATGTCGTTTTAATCTGCAGATTGCGAAGTTAAATGAATAGCTTCAGTATCATTTAGGTAACGGTGAAGGTTGTCAAGTAGTTTTTTTGTTTCTATTGGATGATACGAAAAACTTTTACTTTTGTCTTGATATACTCTACTTTAGAGTTAATTAAGGAAAACCTATCACTTTAGGCAATATGTCAAGTAAATCATATCCATCCTCGGCATACTCTAAATAATTTCACACATCGTCAGCTGCTGCTGCACTTAAAATATTGATTAATGTCTTATTGAGTAAACTCTCTTTCTCATATTTTAACAAATCCCTTGCACTATGCCGTTGTGCTCGCCCAGCACTTTTCCATGTATATCCACAATTTTGCCTCTTTGCACAGACTGTGGAGCTAACTTAGCTATTGTTTCACTATAGCTCTCAGAAACGAAGCATATATCTTGACTGTCTGGCTTTTCAGAAATTCGCAAACCAAAATGTTTTTAAGTTAAGTTTTTAACCAAAAGTGCTAAGAAATTTACTAAGCAGAAAAAAAAGGCAAAAGAAACCCAGAGCAGCTAGTATTCAAATTCTCCTTTGTTCTATTTGACGTTCTATACTGTCTTAAACGACTTATAAGCGCGTTTCAGTTTGTATAGGTAAAAACCAGAAGTTTTATAAAGACGTGAGGTGCACATAGTGCAAAAATTTTAAACATGAGACGCTAAATACCAAGTTTCCTTTGTCGTTTTAATCTGCAGATTGCGAAGTTAAATGAATAGCTTCTGTATCATTATAAGGGTAACGGTGAAGGTTGTCAAGTAGTTTTGTTGTTTCTATTGGATAATACTAGAATTCAGAAAGAAAGAAATTAGTTATGTTCTTTATCTTGTTTCACAACAATGCATCTTTTCAAGCCATATACATACTCTTGAAAAGATAACCCATAAGGGGATGATTTTGTCGATATCGTTTTGATCTTCGCCTATTTCCAATATTGCAAACCCATTCTTTTTAAGGCACTTTTTCAATATTGGAAAAATACTCAAGTAACAGCTCAAACCATCAATACCGCCATCAAGGGCCATTTTCGGTTCTTTTAAGGCTGCTAAGTACATGAAAGTTGGCATGCACGGTTCCACTTTTGGTGGCAATCCACTTGCAACTTCAGTAGGCAATGCTGTGGATAATTTGCTTAAAAACAAGATATCNTTTCCTAGCTAGCCCATTCTAAACGAAGCGGAAGAGTATCCTGTTCGGACGAATTACGTTAGATGTAGCAGTGTCGTCTATGTGTTGTTCGTTGCGTATAAGAATGGCGAACAATGCCAAGTTCAAGTGTAAATAAAATTTTATTTGGTTCATTGCTTGATCCGGTAAACCGGCCGATTCTGATTCACGTAATATAAACGGTTCAACCAGAACGTCATGTGCGGTACTAAGTGCAAAACCCGACGAGAGTGAAAGTGAAGAAAGTGGCCGGGCCGGGCCTGCACCTGCTCCCGGGTTCACGAACCACTTCTTCATGAATTTTTCTGCCCGTTCTTCGAAGAAAGTCCATCCAGGCAGAGCCGTTGAACCGCTCTGAACTTTGACGCCCGCTCCTCCCACGTCAAGGTGAAAGCAGCGTTTCGATAAAGGGTCCATATGGAAAAAAGTGACATTTCTCAAGTGGGAATTATCAAATTTTTCAGACCATCTCGACGCCGCTAATTTTTACAATATTTGGGATTCAGCACAAGTAGCTCAGATTCTTAGAGACAATAGGATTTATTGGTACAGACCATTTTTTCGTGCACAATCACGACCTAACGTTTATGATTTAGGTTTGGAAGTTTCCGATATTTTTGGTCCTCACTGACCCACGCAATAAAAATACTAAAAACGTTCGAAGGAAAGAGTGTTTTTTTTGTTTTTTTAAAGAAGAAATTCACTTTCTTCGCCTTTCTAGTCTTTCCTCTTCAGACAAATTACATAACATATATTAAATTTGATCATGTTCTTTCTATTTCAATTAATTAATTATTTATATTTTAATATTTTAGGTTTTTTTATTATTGCTATGTCTTGGCGGAGGTCCTGCCATTGTCTTTGCAACGGCGAAGGACACGAGCGATCAGAAGGAAGAAGCGGGCGTCGTAACTGAAAATCCGTCCAGCCTCACGCCAGCCGAGCAGGCGATGCTCGAGGAACTAGTCGACCATGCGATAGCTCAAGAAGAACTGCTCAGAAGTCGAAGGTCGGGCTTGATCAAGAAAAAATCGGACAAGATCAACAGACTCAGCTCCCTCGAGCATCCTCCGAGCGATCATTACGGCCCTCCGGAGCCACTCTCGGTAAATATCTCCATACCCAATTAGATGGTCGGTGAGTTGATTGGTACAATAATACAAGACGTTTATTCTTATACGCATCAGTGATGATTATCAGTAAAATCGAGCAGAATCGTTTACTATAATCTCTCCTTTTTTTCTTTTTTTTTTTTTGCAGAAAATGAAAGTAGAAAGAATGTTTCATAATTTGTATATATAACTGCTATTTTACATAGTAATTAGACCAATTTTACCCATGTAGCAACAGCTTTATGTTAGCCAGAGGCAGTTACTTAAAAGTTCTTCTAAATTTTCTCTCTTTCCCTCCTTCTCTTCCTGTATCGCTCTCTCTCTCTCTCTCTCTTTCTCTCTCTTTCTTTTCCTCTCTCTCTCTTTCTTTCCCTCTCTCTTTCTCCCTATCACTCTATCACTCTTTCTCTCGGTTTATTTTTTTCTATCACTCTCCTTCGCCCTCTCACACTTTACGTAGCTACCTATCTATTTATCTTTCTATCTACGTTCATTTCTCTCTCTCTCTCTCTATCTCTCTATCTATCTAGTTATTTATCTATCTATCTTTCTCCCACTCTTCCTGTATCATTCTCTGTCTTTCACCCTCTCTATTTACCAATCGCTTTCTCTCTTTCCCTTGGATCTCTCTTTGCCTCTATCAATCTGTCTCTCTCTCTCTCTGCTCTCTCACTCACTCTCTCTCTCTCTCTCTCTCTCTCTCTCTCTCTCTCTCTCTCTTTGTCTCTTTCTCCTTCTCTCTCCCATGACTCTCTCTCTCTCTTTCCTCCCATTCAATCAAAATCAATCTATGTATATATGTTTTTCTTTTTCTCTTTTTTTATGTTGGTCATATATTCAATCACAACACTCATCTAAAAAGACCTAATATCTGCAAAGCTTGTTTCAAATTGACTATTTCTTACATTTCAGACTGAAATTTTTAATTGAGTTATATGTATTGTACGTCCATTATTTATTGACGCATTTTAAATATTTATATTCATTCAGTTTAACTTTTTACTTCCACACTACACGAAATTTACTAAAATTCTTTTTGTGCACAAGAAAACTGAAAGGATATCGAAGGATGTTTATTTTTGCCCTGTAATCAATGAAACTTTTGTTGAAGTTGTAACGCTTGTACCGACAATGGACATGACATACTAACAGAACGTAGGTACCACGTCGTAAAACAGTAAGTACTTCTTTTTACAAAGCTTTTAAAGTTCTGACACGATGATTTATATCATACGTGTCAAGCCATGTGTTAACCGACATGCAAATCATAAGGAAATAAGTTTTACCTTTGATAAACAGGGACAAACTTATTTTGTAATACGTTAAGAATTTAAGCTTTTTATATTATAAAATTTCTATCATCAATTCAATTCTTTGAAAACCATTAAATTATTTTATTTTTTATATTTATATGATGTCTTTATATATACTTAATTAGTTAAAATAGAATATACTTTATTTGATTAATATTTACTCTTGTGATTTTTATTTGCTGTTTAAATTGAGTTTAGGTTGGTCAAGTGAAGTTCCTGCTTCCCTACTTCATTATTAATTTATGATTTTTCTTACTAGGTCATTACAATGGCCTTTGTGCGTGAATTAAGTTTTATTTAAATTTCAGTATAAAATGTAAATATGAAAATTATTCCTCAAAAGATAGGCCATTATCAACTACTTTAGCTCATCTTTCTGCCAGAAGGATTTGGTGGTGATACCAGTTCTTGGTTTTCGAGGCGAAGAACTCGCAACCTAATTTGACATACTGGTAGACCATAGTCAGACGGTGCGACGTCAGGGTTGTAAGGAGGGTGGGACAAGATGCTAACACCATTTATTTCTGCAAAAAAATTTCAGCTAAACTTGAACGATAGGCAGCAGCGTTGTCTGCTGAAATAACGCTTTATCCTGATTGAGGAAGAGTACTTATCTTTTAAAACCCCATATATTCTTTAAAGCTCAGTAAAGCTCTGCACAACCCCTGCCATCTGGAACTGCGCATAGTGCAAAACACCCTCACAAATTCACCAAACACAAAGCATAATTAAAAATATCCATTTTACATCGTTCGTTACAATTGTCTTCCAAAATCTATGATGATTTGGATTTTGAACCTGAACCAAAATGCTGCAGTGTTACGATGCATATTTTCACCTTCCACTGCACAAATTTCCTCGGCTGCTGCCTTCGCACTTATTCCTTTTTTCCCGTAGTGCCCAGAGACCACGAATATTATTTTTTTCTTCCGACATTTTCTGTGTGATTTGTAAAATGGAATGAAAGGCAGTCAGTTGGTATACATAATTAAATAAAGGATTAGCCAAAGTAATCAACGATGTATGCATAATATGCATCAAAGGCTAATAAGGATTAAAACTAAACTTCAATATCAACAATTAATTACTGTACAAAGACTTTTGTAATGACCTAGTACTAATTGAAATGTAACTAAAACTATTTTTGATCAAATGTCATTAAAATGTTTTTCCTCTAATTGATAATAATCTTGAAAAATTTTTTTTAAATAAACTGGAATTGACTTCTTCTGTAAAAAGGCTGCTGGATGATTCTTGGCTTGGGTTTGTGTACTAACAATTCAACTGGCGTAGCCTTAATGAAAGTTAAATATTGGGCGATAATTAATTTAGTACATTTCTAACTTTCACTCAAATAGGAGATTTCAAAAAAGTAGTAAAATGCTCGAATATCAACTCTACGTAACAATCTTGGACAGAGTGTCAAAAAAATTTTCATATCCCTGGGTAAATTAAATAATAAAAATAAATTCACTACTTTCGTGGTCCGCTTGACCAATTAATACATGACAATTAATTAAGGTATTTTAGTTGAGATAAAAAAAAAGTTAATGGCACGAGAGGGATTCAAACCCACGACCTTCGGCTAGATACGCCGCTGCTCTACCACCTGAACTATCGTGACATCTCAAAATCAAGTGATCGTGATCTCAAAAAAAACCCTCAGAAAACTCACAAGGTGGGGTTGAGATGGGGAGTTGATGTCCGAGTGGATCGAGGTCACGATAGCTCAGGTGGTAGAGCAGCGGCGTATCTAGCCAAAGGTCGTGGGTTCGAATCCCTCTCGTGCCATTAACTTTTTTTCATCTCAACTAAAAAAACCTTAATTAATTGTCATGAAATAAAAATAAAATTAATTTCACAGGAGGATGTTTTTATTAATCGACAGGCAATTTTTATCAAAATTACTTTTTGTTTTTCATACACATGCCAATTTTTCTACAACAATTTCAACAAACAACGTGACGCCAAAGATTATTGGTGTGCGAGAGGTGGTTCACTGTTATGTAAACTTTTGCCTTATTTTTTTCAATTTTTTATAACCAATAACAATTTACATATAAATAAAAATCTTTAAAATTGAGCGTTATGATTTCTAACTTATGATTTTCAACTTAGGATTGTACCAGTGATGACTTCCGTGATCTTTACTTCTGTTACTTTTCTGAACATAAAAATTTCATATGATATTGACATGAATTTTCTTTTTAAGTCTAGATTTAATTAAATTAGTTCAATTTTGATTACTTTTCTACATAAATTGTTACCTACTTTACATTTGGGTGGTGTAATCAGTTTAATATCTATTTTAAAACAATCAAACTATCTCAAGTTATGTGTTAAAGTTGCAAATGTAAAAAAAAAATTAATTAAGGTTTCTTGTGTGTTAGTATGGAACCAAATCATTCAGCTTGTGGTCATTCAAGAAGGCCATTTTGAACGCTCTCATTCAAGCCGTCAAGGCGATAACTGGCGGTGTTCTTGCGCTAAAAGGACAATTAGTCAAGGTCAAAGGTCATATTGTCGCTGCCAAGGGCAAACTGCTCGAGACGAAGGGTGACGCCATAACAGAATTTGGAAAACATCTGGCGACGAAAGCTCTGCTCACACCAGTCCATCTATCTAACTATGACCACTCAGGACCGGGTTAGTACTGAAATTAAGTTTTGCACATTCTAGTTGTAAGTTTTGTATTTAAAAATACATTTTTGTGTATATAAAGATAAATTTGATTAATTTATTTTAAAGACACAACTGCTTTATTTTATTTTCTGATGTGCTTTGTGATTAGCTTTTAAAAATAAGTATAGCACATGCACTGATTTTTATATACAGCTGTATAAAAACACCATCACACAAATTGTTGCAGCACATGGTCCATATCCATCAGCAGGATCTCCTAGCTATGGTCCCCCTGCTCATCACCCTCCACCCGCTCAAATCCCACCACCTAGCTCTAATTATGGAGGTACAGCTACTCTTAGAGCTTTCTTTCTTCTTCTTTCAATTTAGCCAAATCAATTTTTCTTAATCTTTGCAAAAAAAACAATTTCAGCTCCTTCATACGGACCACCTTCAGGACCTTACCCAGGTCATGCCCCACCATCTAGTTATGGCGCGCCACCACCACCATCGGCCAACTCTTACCTCCCGCCAAGCGGTGGATTTGGGTCGGAGTATATCCACGGAGAATTCCCACCCACAATGTTCGGACATCAGCTCAATAACGATTTCGGTAATCATCATCTGAAAAGGGATACAATTGACAATAACAAAGGATGTAAGTAACATATTAAACATGCTTGTAGAATTAAAAAAAATTATAGATGCAAAATATCGACATTGCAATGCAAGAAGTTTAATTAAATATTTTATTATTACCAGCTTCTGATGGTCTCCAAGCAGGGATCGTAGTGCTCAAACCTATCAATCTACCTCAGGCAAAAGAGCAAGATAGTGTATACAGACCACCTCAAGCATTCAGTACGAATGTGCATAAACACCGAAGAAGTATTAACAACAGACAAAGACAATTTTGACATTTTTTCAGGTATAATAAATATTAATTTTGAGTTTTATTGTCATTGAATATCTAAACATATGTTTTTTTATTTTTCTAGATCTCACGAAAAAAACTCATGGCAAGTGAATGTTTTGTGTGGAAGAATCTTTTTTCTATTTAACTATAAGTGTCATAAACTAAAAACAAAGGGGGCTTCATGCTCAGAATGTGCAGTGTAAGCTTAAAAGATCGACTAACTTCTGAATTTCTGAGTGGAGAAAGAGCAGATATGAGTTTTCATCTAGGTAGAACCATTCTATGTAAAATAGTGAATTTATAATTTATTAATTAGTCCTTTTGAGTAACTTATTCATCAAACTATACAATATGAACTTGTAAATATTATAAATAAATTTTTTATATTATACATTTTTTTTATTATGTCTTTCATGCAGCTACTACTTGACAAAATATCAAGTAACGAACAAAATTAACAATAGTATTTTAAAACCTGAAAACTTATGGGCTGAAACTTTGAACTTCTGCCAAGAGACACAATGAATCCAAACATCCCAATCCAAAATACTTAGAAAAATCTATGTTCTACTTTATCTTCAGAATGAAACCATCTGCAACGACCATAGTTTACCCGGCATACGGGACACTATCATATCCAGATATTCCACAATTCACTCATCCAACATTAACGCACTCATTCCACTGAATCCATTCAAACCATCCACATAGGCTAAAGAGACAAAAATCTGTCTAGTGACAATAGAGAACTAAAAAGGAGAGGTAATGTAATTTGGAGTGCCATGGGTAGTTTCTCCACTCTGATTATTTTATTTGTTTTTTCTTTCATTCTTCTGTTCACTATTGCTTGTCACCCAAAATTATGGGTAATTGTAATATTCAATATATAAAAATATCAAAAAATTGGATATTTCACAACAAATGTTTCATTCATCACCATGACTCATGACACTTATATATATGTAAATTTATGATGTACCAGAGTATACTCCAGGCTAAAAAAAAACCTGATAAAACCTTTTTTCTATTAATTCACAGGAAGAGAAGAATGGAATTTACGTTGACATGAATTTGTAATCAGTCATGTAATCACCTGTCAGACCCAGGGGGAGAGGTTAGTCCGTCCAACTCGTATTGACATGCTAGCTGATCAGGTTTCAAAAGCCAAAATTTTTATCGTGAATAATATGGAGAAAATATTGTAAAGAAGTTTGTCCCTTTGTCCGCGGGTTGGTTCAGAGTTTAGCCATGGTAAATAGTTCATTTCTAGACAGGGAACTGCGGCCTAGGTGGAGCATATGAATTAGTATGAGAGTGTGAGAGTGAATCTTATACAATAAAAAACAAAATACAACATAAGCATATACAATGTATTTAAAAAAGGCTCTTCTTGGCATGAAACAAACGGAACATTTACAATGTACAAGAAGTTCTTTTTCTAGCACAACAGTAATCTTTTACCAGGCAATGTTCAGAGATAAAACTTTAAACAAAATTCAAAATTAACTGAAATGAATTGAAAAGATATAAGTACCTTAAATCTTTCACTATGGCACAAAACAGTAAAATTTAAGACATCTTTCTGCCAGCGCACTCCTTTCCGGATTGGGGCTTATCTACTCTTTTTCCAATGTGTTTGCAATGATCGACCCTCTCTTCTACAGTGCAGATTCCTTTCTTCAGAACGATCATCACAAGTGTTGTTTATCTTATTGTTAGTTTTATTTTGATTTTTTGTATAAATGTATATATTCTTGTTTTCAAGTGGATTCCTTCATCACTAGCAGACGGTTTTGCAATCAATGCTGTATGATGCCCATACATCTATCTACCTATTGTATTTATCCATTTATCATCTATCTATCCATCTCTCAATTTATACATATACCTATCCATCTATCCACATAACTATCTGCTCATATATCTATCTACCTATTTATGCATTTATCCATCCATCTATCCACTTATCAATGTATCTGCCCATGTATCTATCCAACACTTTATCCACCTATTTCTCACTGATACACCTATCCATCTATCGAAATATCTATGTATCTGTCCATGTATCTACCTACCTATCTATTCATGTATCTATCAATGTATCTTGTCCATGTATCTCTCTACCAATTTATTTATACATTTATCTATCTCTCTTTATCTATATCAGCCCATATATCTAACTACCTATTTATGCTTTATCTATCTATCCATTTCTCAATTTATTCATATATCTATTCATCTATCCACATATCTATCTATATATCTGCTTATATCTACCAATCTATCCATTTCATTTTATCTATCCACCTCTCAATCTATTAATATTCCTATCCAATCACGACACATATATATGTATCAGCTCATATACCTGTCTACTTATTTATTCATTTATCTATTAATCTCTCAATTTATTCATATCCCTATGCATCTATCCACAAATCTTTCTATCTGCCCATATATCTATCTATCAATTTATCCATTTAACTATATATCCATCTCTCAATATACTCATATACCTATCCAATCTATCGAAATATGTATCTTGTCCACGTATTTCTCTTCCAATTGATCCATTTATCTATCTCTCAATACACTCATATACCTACCCAATCTATCCAAATATCTATGTATCTGTCCATATATTTATATAACAATTTATCCATTTGTCTCTTTATCTATTCCTCAATTTATTTACATTTTCATCTATCTACCTACATTTCTATGTTCCTATTTATCCATTTATTTATCCATTTATCTATCCATTTATCTATCCATCCATCTCTCAATCGATTCATATCCATCTATACATATCTAACTACCTATTTATGCTTTATCTATCTATCCATCTCTCAATTTATACATATACCTATACAGTTATCCATATATCTATCTGCTCTTAAATCGACCTATTTATCCATTTATCTATCCATCTATCCACATATCTATGTATCTGCAAATGTATCTATCTACCAATTTATCCACCTGTTTCTCTATCCGTTTCTCACTGTATTTATACACCTATCCATCTATCGAAATATCTATGTATCTGTCCATGTATCTACCTACCAATCTATTCATGTATGTATCTATGTATGTTTTCCATGTATCTCTCTACCAATTTATTCATTTATCTATCTCTCAATACACTCATGTACCTATCTAATCTATTTAAATATCTATGTATCTGTCCATATATCTATATACCAATTTATCCATTTATCTATCCATCCTCCTCCCAATCTATTCATATACCTATCTAATCAATCCACACATCTATGTATCAACCCATATAGCTATCTTCCTAGTTGTTCATTTATGTATTGATCTCTGAATTTATTCATATACCTATGCATATATATATATATATATATATATATATATATATCCACTCTCAATATTCTCATATACCTATCTAATCTATCCAAATATCTATGTATTTGTCCATATATCTATATACCTTTTTATCCATTTATCTCTCTATCAATTTATTCATATTTCAATCTATCTACATTTCTATGTACCTATTTAACAATTTATCTCTCTATTCATATCCATCTTTACACACATCTATGTATCAGCCCATATATACCTACCTACTTATGGTTTATCTATATATCCATCTCTTAATTTATTCCTATCCTATCCACATATCTATATATCTGCTTATACATCCATCTACAAATTTATCTATTTATCTAGCTATCAAACTCTCAATCATCTCATATACCTATTCAATCAAACCACATATCTGTGTATCACCCCATAATCTACCTATCTATTTATTCATTTATCTATTGATCTCTCAATTTATTCATCCACCTATCTATCTAAACACATATCTATCTATCTACCAATTTATCCATTTATCTATCTCTCCATCTCTCAATCAATTCATACACCTATCGATGTATCCAAATATCTATGTATCTACATTCCTATTTATCCATTTATCTCTTTATCTATTTCTCAATTTATTCATATTTCGATCTATCTATATACATTTCTATGTACCTATTAATCAATTTATCTATCTATCCACTTCTGAATCTATTCATATATCTTTCCATCCTTCGAACACTGAACACCAGCATTGGCTGGTTTCCCATAGCATGTGTCCAAGGGGTGCAATTTACGCATTATTATTTTTAACATGTACTAATATGTGTAGGCAAAAAATAATAATAAAAAATAAAAATAAATCTATTCTTCTATTACTCATCACGTAAAGTAATAGTGGTGATAAAAATTTGATAACTTTACCGGAATAAATTTTCAAATCTTTCATTATACAAAAATTGATTGAATATATAAAAAATATATTTTGCATTGTATAAAGTCAATTTTCCACATCCAAAATGTAATTGTTATATGTAGACAATGTTTGTAATTCCCAGGCCCTGAAGATGATCTCAATAAAGATCGAAACGTTGGCACGATAAAGAAAATGTTTTTCTGATACCTATATCATTCCAGACCGCATCTCACGATTTCTAAATAAATATCGATTAACGGTCACTAATCACCACACATTATACAAAAAATGGTTCCTATTGATGTCAAAATCTCAAGACGTTTGCAGTTAAAATGTTCAACTTTTACCGAAACTCCAATTTTATTTAATATATCACCAAAGCTAATATTGCTGTTTAATTATTTTAAAAGATGTATTTTTTGGTATTTCAAATTTCTTTTTACATACAGATAAATTATCCTGGGAAGCGTTCAGTTTAGTGTTACAGCATTGGTTTCTTGAATATTGTGTATGTAAAACATTAATTATATTCTGAAATTATACATCCTTTGATTTTTCATGATGCTAGTCAATAGCATAGTCATACACTCTTTCGCAAAAAAAAGTTATAAACCGGTTGAGAGAGATTTTGTGTGAATGGGTCGGTTGCACGAGTAATCGTCTGGAATCAGGGATTAGCTGAGATTTCTAATTCGTCCGAAACCCCTTTCTTCACCTTTTCAATGGTTGACAACGTCAAGATTGGCAGATCGGGGCATTTGAACAGCCTTAGGCCCGATCCTGTCGAACCGTTCCAATCAGCAAGAGAAATGCCACTCCTACCTTTCTCCGGAAAATTGCATACCCTCGGAAAGGTCAATAGATCTGAAACGAATCCGTGCCCTATCGTCTTGTTACGACTTATAACGGATGAGCCGGCAGCCGAGATATTACAAACCGGCCGAATGGAGGGAGAAAAGTGAGCAGGTTGCTTATTGAGGATGTCGGAGGGGAATAGGAAGTAGGATGTCGGGTCAGTGGCACACTTCTACAAGACGAGCTTTCCGTCATCAGTCTTCACCTTGCCCTTGACTTGGAACAACTCTTCAACCGACTCCGTAGA